TCAGTACAAATCGGCAATTTCATACTTTAACCCCTATTATTAGGTTCCTAAGGTCAACAAGCTTATAGAAATCGAAAGACTTGTTTGATTTCATGATTTTCAAACACATCTTCGACTTAATTGTAAACATTCCATACCAGGAGCACCGTCACTTCCAGCAGGACCAGGTGTGCCTCTTTCTCCTTTCTCTCCAGCCGCTCCAGTCAAACCCCTAGGTCCTGCTAAGCCCATTGCACCCATTGGACCAGGGTGTCCTTTACTACCTTGTGGACCTTCCGGACCCTGTATAAATCAAACGTTAATTTTAATACCGTTATTGCTTAAATACCTTTTTATCTCACATGTATATGTTTTGAAAATAATGTTATACCGGAGGACCATCTGGACCCTGCGCACCAGTGTCGCCTTTTTCTCCAGCAATTCCAGGTGCACCTGGTAATCCTCTTTCGCCAGTAAATCCTCTTTCTCCTCGCGCTCCTTGAGGCCCGGGAGAACCTGGGGGTCCTGACATACCTGGTTCGCCTTCTTTACCTGGAGATCCAGGCAAACCGGCTGCTCCCGGCAAACCCTGTTGAAAATTAAATTTTAACGTGAGAAATATATTTTTAGAGCGTAAAACTTATAATAACCAAAAATGTTTTCGTACCGGGAATCCAGTGGGCCCGGCTGGACCAGTAGGCCCTCTTTCGCCAGCAGCACCTTGCGGACCTTGAGGCCCTTGGATTCCAGGACCGCCATCGCGGCCTGCATCACCTTTAGGGCCTTGAGAACCGGCGACACCTGGATCACCGTCTCTACCAGGTTCACCCTATGCAAAGAACATGTAACTTATTCTGCTTAGTAACAAACATAATATTTTGGTTCAATTACGATATTCAGTAGTACTCTTACTTGCAAACCACGCTCTCCGGGACTTCCTGGCAGACCTGGTGCTCCTTGTAATCCCTGAGGTCCTTGTTCTCCAGGTCTACCATCCGCTCCAGGAATTCCTCTTTCGCCAGCGGGTCCAGTTTTCCCAGCAATGCCAGGTCTTCCAATACCTCCTCTAGGACCTTGCAAACCTTGTGGACCGGGACGACCAGGATCACCAGCGCTTCCTTTAGATCCAGCTAAACCCACTGCTCCTCTTTCTCCTGGTTGCCCTTTAAGTCCCATGGGTCCATCTGAACCAGGTAAACCTCTCATTCCCTGTTGTCCTCTCTCGCCTTGAGGTCCGACGTTGCCAGCAGGTCCTCTTAGACCTCGTTTGCCGCGTTTTCCTTCGGGTCCGACTGCTCCAGGCAATCCACGAGGTCCTGAACCGCCCGACTCCCCTCGAGGACCCGCATCTCCCTTAGAACCCCTTTCCCCAGGTTGACCCTTTAAACAGTTATTAATGGCATTATTTATTACTTGTAAAGCCAGTATAAAAAACACTAATATTACAAATAGTTCGTAAAATTTACAAGAAAAATTTCATTTGATACTTACTGGTGTTCCTTTAGGTCCCGATATACCAGGTTCACCAGCTACACCAGGCATTCCTCTCGGTCCAGGAAATCCTTGTGGCCCAGTAGCGCCAGCCTGACCGTGTGCTCCTTTTTCTCCAGGTGTACCATCACGACCAGGCAATCCTGGAGCTCCAACTTCGCCTGGTTGTCCTGGACGACCTGATTCTCCACGAGGACCTTGTAAACCTTGACTGCCTTTAGGTCCTACTGGTCCCTGCTCACCCTTGATTCCCGGAGATCCTGGAAATCCTGGCGATCCTAGTTTCCCAGGGTTTCCCTAGAAAAATTCGATAATATTTTACCGTCTCATAAATACAATATTCACCATAAAATCAAACACAAAAACTATGCATACCACTGGACCGGGCGGACCAACTGCGCCGTCAGCTCCTCGCATACCAGGTGGTCCCGGAGAACCTTCACGACCACGTTCACCTCGTGATCCAACTGGGCCCTGCGCATCGTTGAAAAAGAGTTTCATTCATTGTAAAAGGAGAAACAATATCGTTAACTAAATACTCAAATTCTATTATAATACTTACAATGGGTCCATGAGGCCCCATCGGTCCAATCAATCCCGGAGGCCCTTTTTCACCTTGAGGTCCAGGTTCACCTTTAGCACCATCTTTCCCATCGAACCCGCGATGGCCTTTCAGACCTTGTATACCAGGCACGCCTGGAGCACCTCGTGGTCCTGGTTGGCCTATAGCGCCTGCTGGTCCTGGTTCTCCATCTTCACCAGGTGAACCCTGCTCATGATAAATTTACGACATAATTACTAGTGATGCACATTAAATCACAGTAAGGCAGTATCATCCAATATCTCTTAAGACATTCTCACATCTTTTCCGGGTGGCCCCATGGGGCCTCTTTCTCCTTGTGGACCCATCGGGCCAGGCATACCAGGCTCTCCGGGCTCTCCTCTTGGTCCTTGGAAACCTTGCGGTCCCGGTGGTCCTTGTGGTCCTATAATAGAAAGGTCAATAGTCAGATTGCAATGTCACATTCAGTTAGTATCGACCATGTCAATTATGGAAACTCCAGGTCTTAAAATTTCGATCAACTGATCTGCACAGCTCTAATCTGACATTAGACCATGATAATGTTGCTATAAAATATCGGTTTCTTTTCCAAAAGCTGTAAATGGGAAGTCGATGCCGAGGTCCTGGTACTTATTACACTTTATTCTTTCCGCTAGCTCAACTGCGGAACCAACCCTCTTGCTGGTTGCTGGAGATGGGAAGAGGCAAGTGTGTCGGCACACGTGTCATCTCACACCAGTGCCCTGCCCATACTCCAAGGGATGAGAGTCATTCCGTCCGGGCGTTTGCCATCAAGTAGCGACATGCCGCTTGCCTCGAGTACAGCGGGCGCTTTAACCGTGTCTAGAGCCCGGCAGATGATGTCGAAGAGCCGCTGGTAGGAGCCGGCGCTCAGCTGGCAGAAAAGACTGTGGTGAGCCAGGGCACTTACGTCTTTGTCGCAAGTAGTAAACTGGGGCGCATGCTGCGCTTCATATAAACGAAATAACGAAATGAGAGATGACATGTCTATGAATAACCTTTAATGAAGTTTATTTTTATTTCAAATTTGGGTTTACACTTTGGGTCCTTTAATATGACTACACCTTTCTGTTTCAACCAGAATAAGTGCACGTACAAAATAATTTGTTTACAACACAAGTAAAAAAAATTTCAAGGGGGAATTATCCCTAATCATATCAAGCAAGAAACAGAGTTTTCACTTTGGCTTAAAACCATCTATTTTGAAACTTACCCGAAAGTATTCATGAAACCACGGTTTTATCTAGGTATCGTATCGTGTAAACTGCAGATGCTATAATCACATACTCACTGTCACTTTTCATGTAAACGATATCGATACCTCCCACGTAAATTGTTGTAAATCTAAATATTTTTTTTTTGCTTTGACTTTTTTGACATAAATATATCCTTTTTTACGTATATTATAGGTTCCATATTTAAAAGTAAATAAACTACTTAGTTTTATACTTATTTTTAACCGACTTCAAAAAAGGAGGAGGTTCTCAATTCGACTGTAAGTTCTTTTTTTTGTATGTATGTGACGCGATAACTCCGGTATTTGTGAACCGATTTTCATTATACTTTTTTGTTGGAAAGGGGGTGGAATAAAATGGGACCACTACTTCCATAGTGGTCCCATTTTATTTTGAAGAAAATCATCCACCTCTAAGGGTGGCTGTTCACTCACGAAGATTCATTTTTATAAATAGCGCCTAACTTTAATTTAGAAGCAATTATTTTAATGGTTGATTTTGTTATTTCTCCAATTCAAGGCGTTTTTCTCTCAATATACTTTGAGTAGTGAGAACCGATTTTTATTATCTCCAGTGTCAAGTCCTGTATAGTGGCGAACTAGGGGATATTTCAATAAAACTTAGCAAATAGACGTAATTCCACGTACTTTTGAGGTCGGTTTTTTAGTACTCTGTACTGAGATTATTAAATATGGAACCTATACAAAAAGAATATATTTTTTAAGTTAAAAACCAAAAAATGGCATTTTGATTTACAACAACTTACATGGGAGGTATCGACATATTTTTTATTTATTTTATTACACGGAATGCACAGATTAGCGTAGCACCCTCTGAACCTGGTATAATTGACTAAATTCACAAGACTATACCTTGTAATCCTCTAATTCCAGGAGCGCCAACTGACGCTTGCAAGTACTGGTATGGATCGAATGCAGGCCCTTTGTCGCCGCCTGCTGTTGCTGCCAGCTGGGCTAGGTAAGCGTTTATCTGATGAAAACATAATTTGATGTAGACAGTGAATGTTTCCTCACTAAAAAATATATAAGTATATTATTATATTGTGAGAAGTGACTGGACGACACGCCCGTCCATAACAGTTGCAGTGTCACTCAAAGATTTAAATCACAACTATCACCGCGCCCTCATCCACCCTGTCACCCTGAGATATAAGTTGATAAGTTTAGTTTTATATTATTGACAAGTTAAATGTGTCAGGGCCATGTTTGGTGTGGGCCAGCGAGAAAGCTGTGTACCCTATTTTAGAAAACTAAAGATTTTAACCCTACCATCTATGTATATTTACGAGGCCTGTGTTTATATAAAACAAAATGCAGGCAACTTTAATCTAGTGAACACCAGATATCCCAGGAAAACAAGGAACAAAATAGAAATACGGCCAAAACAACGTGGCACCTAAATTATTTAATAAAATACCAGATGCAGTTAAAGAACTAAACTGTAGGCAATTTAAAATAAAATTACATAATTTGTTAGTTACACAATGCTACTACAATATAAATGATTTTTTAATTGATAACATAAAATGTAAAATTTAACCACTGTGCGTGATTGAAATAAGAATTGTGTAAAATATTCGCATGCCAAGTTTTGGTGAAATGTACGATCTAATAATAATATACTATAACACCATTGTAAACTACATTTTTCAGCGAATAAATATCTTGTATTTTTGTATTCTTGTAAATTTAGTGTTCGTGTGATCAAATTTCCCTAATTTCTATCCTTCAAAGAATTTTTGTTTCTAATTCCTTTAGTCGTCTATATAGTTTCTTACTCTTTGTGAAAAATTGAAATTAAAATTTATACTTTTATTGTTTAGTATCTTTTTATTTATCGTACTAACGTCAGGCACTGGACCAGAAACACCAGGTACGCCAGGAACTCCAGAAACGCCATTGACTCCAGGAGCGCCAGGTGGACCTGGAGGGCCTTCCTCCCCTTGAGCACCAGGCACACCACGTGATCCAGGTCTTTGTGATGCTGTTCCAGTAGAATACGGGGGTCTAGGACCACCTATTAAAAATTATCAACATTTAGTATTACGTACTGTTATACATTTCCTTTTACACTTAAGATTTAATTTCAACTGCATGCTACTTACAATAAAGCCTCCTAAAGTGTAAAGCATAGCTATAGTATATTCAGCGTGTTGGTGAATGGGCATTAGTATTAAAGTGTGCAGAAGGCCTCACATGTGACTTTATCTTATTTCTTGGGAATCAGATTACTATGCCCCTGTCCTGAATGAGTCCTAAAGATGTGCGCGAGTTTTAAGTGGTGATTTTCCCTACTAAACGAACAAATTTACTTCATTGGCCATTCTCAAACACATAAGTAAACAAAAATGGAAGTGTGAAATAGCTGCGCTTGTGTTGAATATTTTTTTATCATGCAGTTAATTATCCCACCCTACCTCTGCATAAAATTAAAAAAAAAATAAAAAATAACACAAGCGCAAGTATAAGTATAAGACTGCTTATACCACCACTAAAAATATACCCGACACGTGTTTCGCCTCTCCACGTGGCACCCTCAGGGGCTGTTGACTGCTGAACTCTCGGCCGAAGAGTCAGAGTTTTTGTCTTTTCTAATCAACTGTATGAAAAAATACTCAACACAAGCGCAGCTATTTTGCACGATTTAACCTTTACTGGGTTAGCAGAGTAGCAAATTAATTTACTTCGATTTTTTTTAAACAAGGACTACCGCAAAGTAATGACTGAATCTATTAATTATATAAGTAAACATTTAGTTTACGAAACAATAGTTTTTTTTCGATTGCAAAGGCTCCGAAGGCATGAACAAAATTTTTTTGCATTGATGAGTAGAATCATCCATGAAAATCAAGCAGACCTTTTCCAGCTACTCTTTTGTACATATAGAGCAGTTGTTGCTGAAACAGGTTTTTGACACCTCAGCGCGTGCTGATTTCATGTGTTAAAAAACGCGAAAAATGTACATCCTATTACCATCCTATTAAAGCTTTCTATTTTCTGTGGTATTGTTTGGTAGGTCAATGGGTATTGTAATAAAATATTATTTCAACGATTTTATGACATCTATTAACAGAAGAATCACTCTACATGAAAACAATCAATCTGTCTAGCTTAATTATTCTGAAATTTTTTCAAAGTTATATTTTAAAAACAACAGCTTAACTACTTTTTTGGCTTACTATCTGTTTATGGAATGTTTGTAAACTAATCCAACGTGCCTTTTAAGTCATGTCACAACTCGAACATCCGCAATTAATATCAGCATCGATGAATGCGGATGCTGATGCGGATGCCGATTCGCAACAACCCTGCCTGATATAGAGTATCTTTCACTACATATCAAAGACGGTTGTTCTACTTCCACATTCATTTAAAGTGAACTTTTGACCAAAGAAGATTGAAATATAAACAGACGCACGTCATAACAGTAAAATTCAAATTCAAATCGTGAAAAAAGCATGAACGACACTTTAAAAGCAAATAAAACTCTCATGACAAGCTTTAGTTTCTTTAAATAAACAAGCACTGGGTAACGAAGATCACTAGGCACGATCTCTAAACACACTACTACTACATACTATACAATTACAATTCAATTCGATCTGCTACTGATTTAAGAGGTTTGATTTAAGATTTAAGTTTCATTTACCTGCTTGTAGACAAGCGGGTAGTATGGAACAGTTGGTCCTCCCATTAAAGCATTGACAGAGAGTGCAGTTGTCACGTTTCCAGGTCTCGCCCTCTGACCAGGCTCGCCCGATGTCGAGGCATTTGTGTATTGGCGGAGCTATGAAATAATACCCAAAAACTAAACTGAGAAAATGATTAACACGAATTAGAGGTTTTTAGAGGTGTTATTTTAGAGCGGTTATGGCGCCTTCGTATTAAATGCTTTTAGAAATGCTGCAGTGAACTAATTGTTGATTCACTAATTGTAACTGCCAATTTGGCGCGCGCGTGTCGCGACAGTGGCGCTGTAACTACCGTTCTAAATATTGTACGAAAAGTAGTAGAGGTGCGGCTGCAGCGTCACAGTGATGCAGTGCTTCTATAAGCGTCTAATTTGAAGGCACCTTTACAAGCTCTACAGTCACAAAAGTTTGAAAACCTTTAAACAGCAAACTTGAGCTCTTACAAAAAAGTGGGAACCTAGATACAATTACATTCGTAAAAAAGTGCCATTGCTAGGTTTTGTTTTATGATACTAAGTGACAGGACAAACAAATCGTGCGCCTGATGGTGAGCGTCACGCTTGTCCATAACAGTTTCAGTGCCGCTCAAAGGACACTGCCTCTCACCCTGACAAATCCGGAACGCAGTAATGCTCGCATTACTGCTGGGCGACAGAAATAGGTAAGGTGGCGGTACTACCCTGCATGAACTCTTTCATAAGGAGTCTACTGCTATGGTTGGTAATAACATATTATTGGATAGATAATTAATAGAAAACCAATAAGATACACATACATTTAACGTCCTTTTCCCGTCGAGGTAGGCAGACACCACAGCCTCTTACAACGATTCTGACACACATCTTTCGCCTCATTTATATGCAACAATACTTTCGCACACATCCATCAGTTACGGGCTCTCGTGACCTGGCTTTTCCCTAGAACGTTCTCAGTTTGAATGTGCAAGTTCGCCTTGATCGACCTTTACCAACCTGCCCACTCACGCTAGCTTCACACCTAAATCTGTTCCGTCAATCATCTGTTGCTTGTCTCTGCATGTCCGAATTACCGAATATCAACCTTATATATATTTACTCATGGGAATACTTAGAAGAACAACAAAAAAGGTTGAAGTAATAATAATAATAATAATATCTCGACCTGGCGCACGAGATCACCGACATGTGGGATGTGGCCTCCACTGAAATAATCCCAATTGTTTTGTCCGCAAATGGGTTAATTCCAGTCAGCCTTTCTAACAGCTTGAGGCGGTTGGATTTCTGTGGCGTGTCGCTGCCAGCACAAATGCAGAAGGCGGTCCTGCTCGATACGACACGTATTGTTCGCCGATTCTTGGACCTGAGTCCTTGACCCCGGCCGTCTGTGCCATTGCCGGGAAATACCGCCTCTCCCATTTAAAAATTCAAAATTAATCTTTTAGGCCTTGGGAGAGGCGAGAGTTTAAAATAAATACAATAATAATAATAATAATAATAACGCACACTCTTTGTTTTATTAATTATTTTGTCTTGGATACAAGTTCTTTGAGCCATGTCTTCGTTTAATTATGTTTCTGTAAATATGGCCGCTACAAAGAGGGTAGGCAATTTGAAGGCGGCGTGTTTGGATTGATTCGGGATTCCTTAGAACGGGCCGATACGGGTATTTTTGATTCGAGATTCGTATAATTTCGCGTTTTAATCTTCGATTACGGCACAATAGCACTATCCTATTCCACTTTTCCAAAACTGCCTCGGTGGCCAAACGGTTACCATGCCGGACTGCCACGCAGAGGTCCCAGGTTCGATTCCCGGGCCGGGAGAAATATTTGTATGGGCCTACATTTATTTCTCTCGTGAGTTTGGGTGTAATTTGTGGTTGTCTATGTGTGTGTCCATGGCATCCGCGACACAGGGTTTCCCTAGTGCGGGGCTATGTTGAGTGTGTGCGTTATTATTATTATTATTATTACTTTAAACTAGATTTCACAAAATAATTAAAAGTCAAAATAAAAACGACACCTATCCCTCCAAAAGGCCCAGAGCGAATCCCAACGTACACTCTCATAGCCCCGCACTAGGGAAACCCTGTATTGCGAATGTTATGGACACACTCAGACAACCACAAATTACACCCAAACTCACGAGAGAAATAAATGTAGGCCAAATAAATATACCACCCGGTCCGAGAAACGTACCCAGGACCTCTGCGTGGCAGTCCAGCATGGTAAACGTTCGGACACGGAGACAATTATGATAATAATATTTATATGAACCACTATGAATGAATAATATTCGTGTGTGGCCACACGTACTAGAATGTTGAATTTGAAAAAAAGAATGACTTCAATCATTGACTTACAATTATATGAACATCGGGTCCGCGCTAAAAAGTGTCCGAACTTATAGGGCGTTAAAATCGTATACAGAGCGTCATTCACGCTTTAGTCTTCGTTTGTTCGACTGACAGCGAAGCAAGCAAAATTAGACAGTACTGCGATGACATTACAATTTAAATTCAACGTTTTAGCTTTTTCATATTCCTTTACATGTCACTACGTTTAAATAGGTTAACTCGGGACATTTTTTCGTGGTTTTTATATTAGACCCGTCGTCCATGTATGTGTAAGTCAATGACTTCAATAGTCTTTTGACTTCGATTAAACGTTCAGGTGTATGTGGCCAGCGGTCCACAACCTTTTTTTAGCGCTCCTTTAAATGTCCATAAGTATATATTATATAAACTTGTAAGCTACCGAAATTTATAACAATTAAGTAACATGCAAACACTTACGGCGTGTCGGAGGCGGTGGTGGTAGTCGCGGATTATCTGAAAAAGGGTAAGAATTTAGAAATTGATTCCTATGTCATATCGTCCCGCTGGACACAAAAGGACATAAATCGAAACTGTAACAAAAATATGTTATTTACACACGCAGTATATGAAATTCGGAAATAAACTGGGTAAACATTTTTCGTCTAAGTGTAGGATTATTTGTTAATTACTGATTAGGTAAGTTATGAAAATAATTATTGAGTACATTTTACTTACTTGTAGTCGAAGATTGAGCAAAGTCTACAGCTGCTAGAACGGCTGCAAAGCAAAATCATTGTTATCATCTATCACATCTTACGTTGTTATCAGGCATCGGAATAGGTAGAGTTTTTTTAATTAAACTTCGGGGAACATATACAGAAAATGAAGACTGCCTTACGACTATATTTTTTAGGTCCTGGACCTTTTCGGGATTCAAGAAATCACTTAAGTGCATTAAAAATTGACGTAATTGAGGACAGGCAGGTACACTATATTTACCTTAACTTTGCGACGCACAGTGGGTCGGACTTTGGATTTTTTTCACGATACCTCTCTAAAAAATGCCAATCCTTTTGCTTTAATTAAATATTTTCATAGGTTTTCGCGATTGTTACACATAGCAAATGAAACTATTTTTCCGGATTTAAATCGCGTATATTTGTTTTTTCAAACAAACCGACGATTCGGGCCCTTTACAGGTCCCATGGTCATAGTCAACCGAAACGTCGGTTTGTTTGAAAAAACAAATATACGCGATTTAAATCCGAAAAAATAGTTTCATTTCCTATAAATATTTTCATATCACATTTTGCCATAAATCTAATAGTTTAGTAGGAAAAAAATATAAATGTGTATCTTTTGAAAGGGTCCATGCCTTTAATGCCCCATTGTTACAAAGTCTTAGTCCATCCAGTCTTGGAATCACTAGTTTATTAAGACGTATTATTAGGTTTAGTGTTCAAATCTATAAAAGATAGGTCTAATAACACGTCTGTAGTGATTCCAAGACTGGATCGACTAAGACTTTGTAACGATGAGGCACTAAAGGTGTGGTCCCATACAAAAAATACACTTTTTTTTCCTACTAAACTAGTAGATTTATGGCAAAATGTGATATGACAATATTTAATTAGGACAATAGGATCTCTCAATTGGCATTTTTTTAGAGATTTATATTAAAAAAAATACAATGTCCGCAATATCGCTGATTCGACCCACCGTGTCGCAACGTTAAGATAGATACCTGCCTGTTCCCAAATAAGTCAATTTTTAATGTACATACTTAAATGATTTCCCGAATTCCGAACAGGTCCAGGACCTAAAAAATTTTGTCATAAGGCAATCTCCATTTTCTGTCTATGTTCCTCGAAGTTTAGGTAAAAAAACTCTATCGATTCCGATCCCTGGTTATTATTGAAGACAATCTCCAGAAGGTAAATGCATACCATTTTCGTCTTCATCGAAAGGGTTGTAATCGTCGTAGCTATCGGGGTCCTGCGCCTGCGGCTGTTCGACGTCGCGTTCCAGCTCCTTGGACGCTGCGGGCAGTAGTAGCAGCGCCACGCACGCACCCGCCAAGCGCCACGATACGCCTGCGCAAGAGTTAAAAATAGACAAACTATTATTACTAATTACAGGTTACTTATCACTTTATGATTTTTATTGTTCTGTACATATTTTAGAGCTATTTTTATAGTTGATGACAAGCGGCAGTTGACAGCTTTAAATGCAGCAAAGACAACAAAAACCACTTGGCAGTCATTCCGTGATCATGGAGAGTAAAAACGCTCTGAAAAGCCTGGACAAGAATAAAAAGTCAAGAAGAAATCGTTAAAATCTACAAATGACCCATGAATATATTATCGACTTCACCTTATCCCGAAGTATCACAAGGATGATACTAGTTTGTTTTTAGTACTTATAAAATATTTTTTTCATAGATATAGTTTACATATTATATCGACATAACTGCCGTCGTTAGTTGAAAAGGCGCTTGTGACAAAAACTCAAAATCGAGAAAATAATGTTTAAAGAAATGAAATAAAAAAATATCTACTTTTCTCTTGCGGCAACTTCATACAAAAACACAGACAGATAGATCTGCCTTTTTTACTGATCAGGGCAGTATACATAAAATTTTTTTTTTAATGTCACATGTGCCCTTTCATTTAACAGCAGTATGGATACATCATCGACTTCAAACGTTCCATTGAATCAAACGACATTGATTACTTCTGCATGAAATGGTCATTATACTAAATTGGGGCGCGTCCTACATATGTATTAGTTCCTCTGTATTATAATGTCCCACTAACCCTCTGTTGTCATCGCCACACATAGTGGTCACAGAACGTTGCATCTTGTCACTTGTGACAATCCTAATTTAGCAATGAACACGCCCATTCTGTTGTAGGCAGTTGAAAGATCGTAAATTACCCATTATACTCATGTAAATGTCACCAAGTTCGAAATCAATTAATTACCTATAAATACACAAAGGGCTCACATATATTACATACTTAAATACTACCTTGAATGGATGTAGTAGCTAGCAACCTTACTCTAAATTTTAACCGCGGAGGCGTTCAAGGCGCGAGAATTTTTGTAATGTACGGGTTCATATAAACTCGTACATTACAAACATTCCCACGCCCGGATCGCTTCCGCGGCGGCCTCTGTATGGCCTGAGCATTAAGCATATCAAATAATGAGACATATAAAAAAAACAAATAATTTTATATATTTATTTATAGTTTTATTTTATGCATTCACCTTACTATAGCTTTTACATGTATTAGTGAATGAATGAATGAAATATTCTTTATTGCACATTAAAATTGCAATGACAATACAGAACAGAAATGTAAGTATCACAGTGTAATGTACAACAGGCGTAGTGTATCAAAGTTACTTAATATTCATATACAATGCATTCGTATGCATATATTTGATATAATAAATTTATCCGTGTATTTAATGAGTATGTAGCATTCAATTTCTTGTTGGAAGAAATCCCTTTATTTGATAAGCTCGGCTTTATACAGACAGACTGCAGCAAGTTAAAAATAAATTTGAAAAAAACATGTGTGTAGATAGCAAACAGCTTATACCTAAGTAATGAATGAAAAACAACTTTAACTTCCTCTGTGGCCGAACGGTTACCATGCTGGACTGCCACACAGAGGTCCTGAGTTCGATGCCAGGGCTAGGAGAAATACTTGTATGGCCGACCAATCCCAGTAACCGCCACATCTGTCTGCATAGAGTTGACAGTGACAATTGGCACTACAATTACCGTACGGCGCAGTGTGAACGAACCATCATTTCGGCAATTGCCTTAACACTTTCGCTCTGATTTCGAAATGATTGAACTCATATTTGTGTTTGATAGGCTTATTAATGGGCGTAGGGTCAATGAAAAGGTTAAAATATTAGAACCCAATGTGGAATCTATTTACGGATAGGACTACCCCAATATCTCCTTGTCTTCTGAATGGTGCCTTCGTAAGTAAGTTTCGGGAACCTATCTGCCGTACGTCGGATTATGGTAAATGTGCATGAACTGATCATGTGATAGGTCAAATAAGTGTTAAAAGATCGTCCTATCAGGCCGGGCGTTAGGAATTTCGTGCTTTAATAATATGAATGGGTGAAAATATTGGAAACGTGTCACACACTCACACCAATTGCCCGGTCAAACCAAAACATAAAGGATGATTTTTTTTTAAATATTTTTTTAACGGAATGTTATTCTCACAGTAAGGGCGCGTGTACACGCTAAGAAATTCGACGTGTCTGCTACAGAAAAGATGAGAGTGGTCTTGTACACGATAAGAACTTTGTCGGATCTAAAACATGTCGTGTCTGTAGCTGACGAGAAAATGATGAATACGTACACGATATCGTATCGTATGCTTTCTGACAGACGTGTGTATTGTAAAATTTGTCAGTGCATTACGTGTCGAAAAACCCTTTACTATTACTTTTTTACATTAAAAATTTAAGGACGAATTTGATTGGCGTTTTCGGGCTCTGCCATAAAATTGTGTCTAAAGCTCTTACTAGGTTTCGTTACGGGGCAGCCGTCCTGTACTATGTGTACCAGAGCCACGGAATTCATTCCGGGGCACTACCCGAAACGCCCTAATCAGAACCAATTTAGAAAAGTACATTTCCCACATTTGTCCTACCGGGCATCGAATCCGGGACCTCTGCATCTAGCACCCACAATGAAGACAGTTGAGCCACCGACGTCGTCAAATGAAATTATTTTATTCTTGGGTCTAAAAAAATACTTCGTTTTTCAAACTATACACCGTTTCAGACTACAGATTCAATGGACACACCTGGCTAACGGAAATACCGTTTTTAATAAATTTTTCCTTATAATCGTTAAACAAAGATCAAACAATTAGAAAAAATTCACTTCGATCCGGTTGGATTCGAACCAACGTCTCCCAGCAAACCGCGCCAATGCTATGCCAACTAAGCCACGGAACGAACCTACGATCCTGACGAATTCTTCCATGTTTTCGATGCAGATCTTTGTTTTGGTTTTTAACGACTTTTTGCCGTAGCGCCATCTGTGAGAAATCTATACAAGTTTTTCTTAAGTGTGTTGCCTTTTTAGGCTCTAGGTTTTAAAAACATATTATAAATATTCAATTCCACAGAAAATTACGAGTTATTAAGCTTGTTTAATTTTGGAACTACTCGTATATAATTGAACGGTAAACAAACAAACCGCGACTTCAGTAAACAAAGAAAAAAACATAGAAATAGTCAAAGTGCATAAATTTCTAGGACTACACATCGACAGTGTCTTGTATTGTATATGTCTTGGGAGAGTCACTCTATACACGTGTGTAATAAATTGTATAAATTCTCATTTGATCTCTACAGACTTTCCAAAACCAACAATCGTCATAGTGTAATGTTGCCACGGTTTTGTGGAAGCGACTCTACGGTACGGAGTAATTTTCTGGGGAAACGCTTCGTATAGGGAAATCGTTTTACGAGCTCAAAAGCGATGCACGATCTATTTGCGGCCTTAGATCAACTGACAGCTGTCGACCATTCTCTAAAAGGTTAAAAGTGCTAACGTTCCCAAGTTTGTACATACTGGAATCATGTACATTTCTATAATCTAACCCCGAACTTTACAGGGAAAAACAGTCGTTCCGGGATTTAATCTACGCCCTACAAATCCTCAAATGTTTACTACTGGTACCATGTCTTGTAAAACAGTTCTGAAGAAAAAAAGCGGCCTTAACATGGTACCTAAACTCTACAACAAACTGCCACAAAGGTTAAAAATCCTATCCTTGGATATGTTCAGGAGGGAATTGTCAAGGCTATTGATTAAAAAATGCTATTACACGGTTGATGAATATTTGAATGACAATATAGTGTGAATTATAGTATATATGAATATTACATAATAGAATTAATTTGAAATTTGTTTTGACATTGTATAGATTTATTAGTTGACATTGTACTGTATAATTTAATAGTTCATAAATTAAGATTAGGTTGGACATAAATTTTCGTATGCCTCTGTAAGAGGTGCATCATAGCTGTGCTAAATAAGACTGTACAGTGTACACCCTATCATGTTATGACCTATGATGATGAATAAATATATTGATTGATTGATTGATTGATCTGATCGATAGAGATTTGTTTTTAGATTTTTTATTTTCTAGAGTTTGGTTAATTAATATGCAAGATAGGACTTAACTTCTTTTGAATCCAGCGCGCTTGCTAGATTGTCATTTTGAAAATAAACAGTGTAAAATAAATTATTAAAAAAACAAAAAAATATCTTCTCGCTAAAGTCCTAGTAGAGTAGTTAAATATATAACTTCATACATAATGTAATAGGAAATTCAACCCGAGAACTATAACTTTTTTATTTAAAAAAATTGGTCTCAATAGTTTGCTCATCGGCTTTTTCTTGGAATTAATCTATCTGCCAAGTTTCATTGTAATCGATTAACGGATAGTGCGCGAAACCGGATTCATGCCCTTGTTTGCTGCCCTTAGAGGTGGAACTCTTTCTTCAAATTATTTGGGAACAACAATGAGGTACCCTCTCTCCTACCGTAATGTCAAGTAATCACCTAGCATACACGCAAAAACAACAGTCCAATTCAGAACCTCCTCCATTTTTTAAAGTCGCTTAAAAATACGATGTCGATCAACTGCTACTTGACACAGTTCCTTAGAAATTTAATTGTTTTGTTCATTCACACGTGTCGATCGTCAAAAAATCGACCAAATCTGTAAGCACCTTTAGGATCTCTGAAAATCGGGTTGTGTCACACAAATCGGGGCACTTTTAAAACATCCTGAATAGAGGAAGAAGTTCATAATTGTCAACTATAATTGTCATGCATGATACATGTAAATAATCAACGGCCGCAGCCTAATACGACGTTATTCAGTTAACATTATCATATAAGTACGACTTCTTTTTATCTTTTGTCTAAGTATTTCATATTTCTTTTACAGTTGGTACTGACCCAAATATACTATTATTTATATTACTTAATTATACTAACTAATTATTGTGTAGAGCATTGTATCTTCTTTTTCTTCCCATCCTTATCGCACGCTATATGGGGTCGCCACAACATGTATTTTTCTTCCACTCCCTTATCAGCTGTCACCTACACCCTCACCCTTCCAAACCGGAACGCAGTAAAACTCACATTACTGCTTGGCGGCAGAAATAGGTAAGGTAGGTGTTTTCATAAATAAATTAATTGTGAAATAAACCAATTTTTGTTTCCTCAAATTTGTATGTATGTAAATAAACACCGTGTTGTATGTATCTCCCGCAATTCATGAACGAATTGACTAAAGTAATGCATAACTAACGTATTCAATTCGAGTTTCTGCTCTACATGTTTTAAACCAGTCCGTGATTTTAATCATGAGATTCCGAGGCGGTGACTCGACGGAAAATAGTTTTCGTTATGATGATTAAGAATAACGCACTGATTCGAAACATTTTGAGCGAAAATTCGACATAAATTTTTATACTGCTTATTATACTACCACATTTAATAGACCCTAACTCACACTTAGGGAGGTGTAATAATAAATAATAATAATTCATTTATGACTATGGACGCAAAGATCGAACATACAGAAAATCTTTTCGTCGACCCGGTGAGACTTGAAACCACGTCCATGCTGCACCGTAGCATTGCTCTAACCAACTGAGCCACGTGTCCAATTACCGAGTCGTCGAAATTCCCCTATGTGTTTTTGTTAAGATCTTTATACTGACTTTTCGGCATTTGTCACCGCTAGTGACATCTAGTGAGAGATTTTTGAACAACCTTCTCTCCGCGTCAGTGGCTCAGATGGTTAGAGTAACGCTAGAGAACACAAAAGTAAGAGAATAAGAGAATGGACACTTTCCGCCCCTCCCTCTAGGGAGGGGCGGAAAGTGTCCATTCTTCTTCTTCATTTAGATACCGCACCACGCGCCGTTTGGCGGTCACATTGACTGAACGACAACAAGGCTGTCGGCGAGCCGTTTTCGCGTCAAGACGGCTTTGATATTTGAATATAGTTTTCATTCATTCGTCACGAAACTTGTACGTTAATATGTAACATCATTGTACGTTACTGTTTGTAATGGTCGTGAATTGTGCTGTGTACGGCTGTTTATTATCATCTAAACGGGATAAAGAGGGGAGTTTCTCCCGTTTTCCGGAAGATGAAACTGATGACAAAATCTTATGTCTGAGACTCAATCAGTTATTGTTTTCTTCGTTTATTTAGTGCAGAGTAACATATAATACAGATTTATTATGTCAATATAATGAGACGCCATAACTTCGTGAGTTAGTAGACAAAGGTTCTTGAATTTTCAATTTGTATTGCCGATAAATATTACGTAGGAATATACCTAATTATTAACTAGGTAATGATAAACTTGGACACGCAATTTCAAGTACCCTGGTTATTTAAAACCCGTCCAAAATACAATCTTTTAAGTGCTGTTAATATAATTTTAAAATAAATCTTCAATATTATTCTAGTTAGTGAATTAATGAAAAATATAATATTATATCGATATAAATACCTAACGAACATGTATAATTATTAGGATTCTTTCTGTTACTTCATGCACACATTTGCGCGTGTGCAGACAGCGCCTTGCTGTATGTAGTAGTCGTAGGTAAATAACTTTCGACTGTTGTAGGAGCGTCCGGGGTGCAATGCTACGGTGCAGCATGGACGTGAGTTCAGGTTCCGCCGGGTCGACGAGAAAAAATATTTCTGAAGGTTCGATCTTTGTTTTTTCGTCATAACCTTATCGAAACTAGTGAAGTTATTTCACAATAAAATCTCAATAAATGATTAATTTATTTATGAAAACATAGGTCATTATAGAAGCTGACATATACAAAATAAGTATAGTTTCACTGTGTCCAGCTAAACATTACGCAAACAAATATTGAAGGTATATTATACATACATTCACTCACATGCACTCCGCTGTCAAACTAAACCAGCTGTAACATGTTTCTTTTTCAATAATATTATTACAAGGGCACACATGGATTTAATAAGTCGGCCAGAATTTAAACGCGACGATAGTTACATGGGTAAATTTTAACGGTAACTAGATGTCAAAATAGTATCGTAATGAGAAAAACGTCAATATACTAAATATCAAAAATTAGACAATGAAGTTGAGATTTATCATTTAAAAATAATAAATAATTGTTTTAAAATAAATATAAAGCTTTGCCATCTTCTTAAATAATAATTCTTTATAAGATACGAATTTGAGAAAGTAAGACATATGGAGCTTAAAGTTATCTATTTAAAAACAGTTAAAACAGCGTCTGACAAATCGGAACCTATCCGAACGATGCATAGCTGAAAAATTATTAAACAATTTCAATTCTTAAAGTAATAATGCATCCAAACTAATATCCTAGATAAGATTTTTTTTAATTTTTTAGAAACAAAATAAAATAAGAAAGTTTTGCCATCTCAACTGAACTAAATAGAAAACGTATAGTATTCGATGTTACTTTTTCAAATGGCTTTATTTCCGTTTGTAAACAATAAACTCTGAAATAAAGCCAGTGTCCCTACCGCTCGACCCAAGAAAAATTTGAATTCGAGCTGAGGTAGTATCAACTCTTAAGTAAAAGATACTAACCTAACCTAACTTTAAGCATTCCCAAAATTGAAATTTATGAAAAATATACATAAAAATAAAATTAACTAAATCATCGCCTTGCTTAGCAGTAAGAAAATTAGAGTTTTTTTTATTTATCTGAAATTGATGGACTCACCCATTATACGCAGAGAATGGTAGTGCTAGGGGTAGCGCGGCGGCGCCGCGACTAGCGCCTGCACCCGTGGGATACCAATAAATATGCGTGTGCGCATGACCCCGCACGCGCCTGTTGCTATACAGGGCTGGTCAACGATATTGCTGCCGGTATGGTATATAGACTCGCTAAAATTGTAGCTATAAAATTATTTACTTATATATTTCGGAAAGGCTTCCGATATATAGTGATTTCAACATCAAAGCCCAAATCCGCTATTGGCTGCGTCTAGCATCTGTTATATTGGTGAAAAGTCATTAGAAGTTTCGGTCAATTCTAATACGTCCAGTATTACGTGCGGATCTTCTTAGAAGTGTCCCATTCGAGATATATTTTTTGCCTGATCCTGCCCTAACAGTTGCAGTGAAACAGAGTTTTAAATCGCAAAGATCTAAGGGGAATTGCCACTGCGCCCTGAGACTTAAGTAGACAAGTCCCATGTGCCTGTAATTTCACCAGCACCCTTAACCCTTCAAAGCCGGAACACAGTATTGAAGTAACACTACCGCTTGGCAGCAGTAATAGGTAAGATGGCAGTACTTCCCTGGATGAACTCTTTCACAAGGAGCTCTATAGCTACTTTATGTATCTCGAGCTCTTCGTCATTAATTAACTATGGCAGCAGTAGAGGTCACTTTGAGAGTGGTGAGAGTTCATCCAGGGAAGTGCGGCCACCATACCTGTTTCTACCGCCTAACAGTAAAGTGAACACTACTGCGTTCCGGTTTTGAGGATAGGGTACTGGTAAAACTACAGGCATCAGGGACTTGTCAACTTCATGTCTTAGGGTCGTATTCCAGAACTCTACTCAATACTCAAGTCAGGACTTGAGTATTGCAGTGAGCACTGAAAATCATCACTCAAGTCCTTGCCATTAGGGTCGTATTTCCAGTGCTTGAAATCATACTCAAGTCTGCTCAAATCGTGACTTGAGCATTGAGTAGAGTTCTGGAATACAACCCCGAGTGTGACGTGCGCAGCGGCAATGTCTCAAGTGTTTGGCGATTTAAAGCGCTAAATGACACTGTAACTGTTATGGATAGGCGTATCGCTTACCACCAGGCGCATTACGCGATAACTCCGGCCGGCCGGCATTTGTGAACCGATTCGGATAATTCTTTTTTTGATGGAAAAAGGGTACCTCCGTATTGGTTCCATTTAAACTTGGAGAAAATATTCCACCTTTAATGGTGGCAAATTAGTGGATAAATCCGGTTTCGCACACATTTTTTTAACAGATTGCAATAAAATTTGGCAAATAGGTGTAATTCCAATAAAAAAACGATGAGCAACTATAAGTCGGTTTTTTTAATATAAAATCAGGTTTTGATATAGAATAAAACCAAAAGACTTACGTAAGGTTTTAGTATCATTCTTGCCTTGAGATGGATTTGTATGTATACATGTATGTGTAAACACTTTCTTGTACAACAAAAATAAATTTTTAACAAAGCAATAAAACGTTATTTACCTTTTAATGAAAGTTGGCTCCTGTGTCGGCAATAAAATCTAAATAAAAATAAAATCATGAAATTTAGTGCTACGTAAATAATTACAAGAATGAATTTATTAACATCACATGTACACACGAGTACATAATATTAAGTAAATGATGATATTATACTAATACATACAAAATATACGGTAAAATGAATGTACTATAAATAAAAATGTGAAATTTAAACAAATATTTTATAGGCTCTAACATGAGGAGTCTGAAGCCAGAACCGACGGTAACTGTCTGACTTGGACTGGGAGGAGGTTCCACATACGAGCAGCATTCACTGTGAACGATTAGAATATTTTTGTGAACTGCGCTGTGGAATGACAAGGTACAAATTAGTACCTGAACGCAGCCTGATGGTATTGGAAACGCTCACGAAGATAACTCGGGGAGGAGGGATGGATTTATTTATACGAGCTTTATTATGTCGTGCGGGCCGCACGCACTTTTAATTGATCGTATCATTTTCAGGCAATATCTAGGCCGCTATAATTATATAGCCGCAGCAATCGCGGGCAAACGCACCAATTCTTGAAGCAAACGACAACTTTTTAATTGCACAGGTCAACCGACGCGAGCGGTTCTTCACTTACAGGACGATGTGAAAAATATTTGCTACATTCAAAATCAGCTTAGGCAACTTCATACAAAATCACATACTGTAATATTAGGGATATGTTTACGTCGATCTAGAGAAAACAAAGGTAAACAAAAAAAAGAAATATCGTATACTTGGTCAACTTAGTGTTTAAGGCTTCGTGTACTTCAAAATACACATAATATGTGAAGTGATTCAGACCAAGAAAATGTTATTTCTATCACATAAACGCTTTAAGTAGCAGTAGATCTCGTTGTGAAAGTTCGTCTAAAGACGTACTGCTACCTCACCTATTTCTGCCGCCAGACAGTAATGTCAGCATTATTGTGTTCCAGTTTTGAATGGTAAGGGTGCTGGTGAAATTACAGGCACATGAGACTTGACAACTTATGTCTCCGGGTGACAGGCGCAGTAGCAGATCTTTGCGATTTAAAGCTCTGAGTGGCACTGCAACTGTTATAGACAGACGTGTAACTTACCATCAGGCGCACGACTTGCTCGTACCAACCAACACTTGATATTATAAAAAAAACTGTACTTTGGGACTGTTAGCCATGAGGCGGACATAAACTCTAAGATTAGATTATTTATCTCTCAAGAGTAATGTTACAGTATAAATATAATTTGTAATCTGATCTTTGCAATTTAAATGCTCTGAGTGGCAATGCAACTGTTGTGGAAAGGCGTGTCGCTTACCACCAGGCGCACGACTTGTTCGTCCCGTCACTTGATATCATTAAAAAAAACTTTATACACATTACATCCTAGACACCTCTATAAAAATACCATTAAAGATGTAAAGATTTCATTATTTAAAGCATATTGCCAAAAGTTTTACACAAGCAGCCTGTGGGTGAAGTATACGCACGAACCCTGAATACATTAAGGGTGCAATATAACAATGCTTTTAGGATGCTAATGGGGCTGCCGCGACACTGTAGTGCATCCGGCGGCATGTTCAAGGAGGCGCACTCAGATGGCTTACATGCCATTATGCGCAAGAACGCTGCCTCACTCATGATGCGTGTGCGCGGCAGCGCTAATAGCGTCCTAGCCGTTGTTTCCAACAGGCTGGACTGCCTCTACCAACTACTTTAGGTGCAACTACACGTGCGTAGGGTAGTGGTCTAGACTCACTTTTCACTAGAATTAAGTAATTTTGTATTGTACTAACCATAGCACGTAAGAAAAATTTACTGTATTACTAACTTTATTATGGATCATGGCCCGAAATAAATAATTATATTCTATAAAAATACCATTGATCACGTTTTTTCACGCCATTGTACATAGTTACACCAGTGTCACAAACTGGTCTGACCCCTATTCTAACGGCAATGGCGTAGGTGATGAGGACACCATGTATTAGTTAAAAAGAAAAGAGTGTACCACATAACTAGAATTAATAGTCCAAAAATTGTCAGTTGATTGATATGATAAATATCATATTGGCATCATAAGAGACATTGGCCTCATAAATTAACCGAAATAGTTCATTCGTTCATTTCTTACATTTCTTCATTATTCTTCATTTTTTACAGTAAACTCTCTTGCTTGTGACCAGTGGCGTAGCGTGAGAGGTGCATAGAGGGCCATGGCCCCCGGCCGTACAGCAATGGGGACGGCGGCGAGTTGTGTTAAAATTATTTTTTACTTAAAATTAGAAAATAAATTCCACTATTTGAGAAAACGACGTCCTGAACAACACAAAAATGGCGACGGCAGGTGAACATAAAAAAACAAAATCGAGTCGAGCCCAAAGGAAAAGAAACTATTCACGTTAAATTAAATCGCGTATATTTGTTTAGTTGTGGTAAACTATAGATGACTTATGTAATCGTGAAAATAGAGGGGGCAGCAAATTTAAAATAGGCCCCGGGGCGGTACAAATCAACACTACGCCACTGCTTGTGACAAATCTATAACGTGCTTTTGATTGTTTGTTTTTGACCCTATTGTTTTATTATATTAAGGGTCTTATTTACTTGTAATTTTCGACAGGGTCACTTACCCAAACGCGAAATGCAAAACATATTTGTCGATATTCAAAAACGTTCTAATATTTAATTATAAGATTTCTCTTACAAGAACAGATTAAGAGGGACCACTGCCTCTGATCGCACGGGCTGTCGCATAAATTCATGGGAACATTTATAATTATGTGGTAAACAATCTGAATTCAGTTCAATTCTAAATTAGAAAAAGTGCGTGAATTTTCATCAGATTAAATATAATTCAGTCGCTAAAATATATCATTCGGACATAATGTGTTAACGACATAAAATCTTTTTCAATTAAATACTATTTTAATTTTAATGTTGTGTTTTTTGACGTTTCCTTTGTTAAATCACAATTCATCGCCTTACTTTCTCAAACTCGTATCATATTAAAAAGTACAAAGTTACTGAAATGCAAAAAATGGATTGTATATCATTGACTTACAATTATATGGACGTTGGGTCCGCGCTAAAAAGTGTCCGAACTTATAGGGCGTTAAAATCGTATACAGAGCGTCATTCACGCTCTAGTCTTCGTTTGTTCGACTGACAGCGAAGCAAGCAAAATTAGACAGTACTGCGATGACATTACAATTTAAATTCAACGTTTTAGCTTTTTCATATTCCTTTACATGTCACTACGTTTAAATAGGTTGACTTGGGACATTTTTTTCGTGGTTTTTGTATTAGATCCGTCGTCCATTTATTTGTAAGTCAATGTTGTATATACAAATTTTGCAGGCTGATTTCCTTACACACGGCTTTTACCTATTCTTAAAGTAATGCATCCAAATTAACACCCTTCATAAGAAATTTAAAATGATTAATGTAGAGTTTTGCCATCTCCTGAATAAGCACTCTTTATAAGATACGAGTATGAGAAAGTGAAAGAGAACGATGCCTTTC